CTTCCTCATAATGCTAAAATAATTATTTAATTATTTTAACTATAATAATAATTATAATATTTTAATTTAAATAATACCAATAAAATAACCCTCTCTTTCCATCCTTATGTTTCTACACTTTTAGTCATACACCCCCTTAATACCTTAACTTCTATAATTTTTAAGGTAACTACCTATCATCAAAGGCATAACCACACAACAACACACTCACCAAGGCTTCACATAATTAATTATTAAAAATAATTTAATAAAAATTAGGGTGTTATAAAACGCAAGGATATGGATGACACGTTTGATGATTATCTTAATCCTCTGGTGTCAGATGAGGCCCGAAGTACTTTAGCATCAAGCAAATAGAGCTACGTGGAGGGTTACATCATATGGTTCTTCAAAGTGTCTCATCCATATTTGGTACAAGATGCTCTAGGAAACTCACCTAGATCAGCTCATCAGAAGATTCTAGAGGAGGAGTATGTTAGGGCCGATCATGCCCATGATGTGTTGTCTAAGTGTCGTCGTATCATGGAGAAAGTACATGCATGTATTGATGGATGATTGTTTCCTGATGGCTCTGAGATTAAAGGTGTTCTTGATGCCATCATGGTGGAGGATCGGGAGGCTCAGTGGTACAAGAGGCAGCAGAGGAACGTCGGGAGGGTCACATGCTGACTAATAGTCCGCCATATCTAGTAGCCTTCACTTTTCTATATCTTGTATTATATTTTGGTTTAAATAATATTTTAGTTAGCGACTTTATCAACTTCTGACACATTCTGTAATAGGGTAGACCAATATATATATATATATATATATATATATATATATATATATATATATATATATATATATATATATATATATATATATATATATATATATATATATATATATATATATTTATCTTTGTATTCATACCATGCATATTATAATCATTTTGTAGTTTACAACAATTGAAACAAAGACAATTTTTTTCTGCTATTGCCTGCTTAATTTTTGAAAATATATTTCTGATTCTATACCGTAAATGTATCTCCGGAATTAACTTAAGTTTAACAAAAAAAATGTGTCTCGGAAATAGACTTTAGGTATCACAGGGCGGTTTAGTCCGCCATATCTAGTAGTCTTCACTTTTCTATATCTTGTATTGTATTTTGGTTTGAATAATATTTTGGTTATCGAGTTTAGATTATATTTGGATAATATTTTAGTTAGCGACTTTATCAACTTCTGACACACTCTGTAGTAGGGTAGACCACTATATATATATATATATATATATATATATATATATATATATATATATATATATATATATATATATATATATATATATATATATATATATATATATATATATATATATATATATATATATATATATATATATATATATATATATATATATATATATATATATATATATATATATATATATATATATATATATATATATATATATATCTTTGTATTCATGTCATGCATATTATAATCATTTTGTAGTTTACAACAATTGAAACAAAGACCTTTTTTTTTACTACTGTCTGCTTAATTTTCGAAAATACATTTTTGATTCCATACCATAAATGTATCTTCGGAATTAACTTAAGTTTAACCAAAAAAAAATGTCTCGAAAATAGACTTTAGGTAACACAGGGACAATTTGGAGTTTTCAAAGAGTTCTTTTAAATAATATGGGTTGGGATAAGAAATTCCTTAAATATTTAATCATTATTACTAAAACCCACCACCCAAATTTTTAAGGTCCCATTTTTTGAGGTCTTATTGTGGATCTCGTTTAGGGGTGTTCATTGGTTCGGGTAAATCCGAACCAAGTCGGAATTCAAATCAAACCATAGTGTTTGAGTTGGATATTTTTTCAGTTCGGGCAAGAACTGAACGAACTGAAGCAAACCAATAAAATCCAATGACAATTAATTTGGACATCGAATTTTCAATTTTCTACCCGCAAGCCCAACTCAAACCAATCATAATTGTTTATCATGAAAATTACTATCAATCATTCAAGTTCAAAAAGAAAAAGTGAAATGTCGTATGTGGACAAGTTATTCTATTTTAATTTGTTATTAGAAAATTGTTAGTGTATTGTGATAACGGAGCGTAGAGCTAGGGGTGTGCATTTTAACCGGTTCATTCAATCCATAACCATAAAATTGGTTTCCAAATATAAAAAATCTAAATCATTTGGTTATTAACTAACCCACTCCATTTAAAGAAAAACCAATAATATTGGATACCCATTTTATTGAAATTCAGTTTTTGTTCCTGATCCAATTTACTAATTTACTCAAATGTTAAAAATTACCTCTCTAAATTTTCAACATAGCCAAAACCAAACCATTACAAATTGAATAACTAGAATGATAGTTAATTTTTTCTTGGATCCCAACATTAAATATATTACAATAAATATTATTTTTTTAGTTTTAAAAATACACTATAATATATTTTACCTGCAAATGTGTTTGAATGACAACACAGTAATGAAAGTTGAGTTTCATCAATCTAAGACATGAATCTCCATTTTGAAATTCAACTTTCATAATACTATAATCAAATTTCAATTATATATACAAGACCAAACACCAAACTTACTTAAAAAAAACTCTTCACATATCGAATATTATTGATTTTAAAATTGTTTTTTTTTATAAAATTGATTTTGAAACTGGTTTTTTATAAAACTGGTTTTGAAATAGATTTTTTAAAGAAAATTAAAAACTGGTTTTTAGAAAAATCAGTTTAAAATTGGTTTCTTTTTAAAAACTGGTTTTTGTGAGAAACCGGTTCAAAACCGAATCGATCCACATGTAAACCGATTTTAGAAATATAAACAGGTTTTAATGAAGTAGTTTTAAGATCCAAACCAAATCATATATATGGTTCAATTTGATTTGGTTATTGATCCATGCACACCCCTACGTAGAGCTATGAAAAACACTTATTATCATACTGACATAAATGACTAATTATGGATTCAAAAGTCTTGATGTTATATATTTTTCTTGTTAGAAATTTTAGAATCTATTAGGGAAAAATTACTAGTCTAATATTTACGATTAAACACTATTTATACTATATTTTTTTAATATTATTATGAAAAATTAATTTCCGTAAATAAGTTATTTTTTTCAAATATTTTTGTATTTTTTATCTACCCGATCAATCCAACTCAAACCAACCCGTTGTTTTTCAGTTCGGTTTGAGCTTTATTGTAAAAATTTACAAATTCAATCCATATAATTTTAATCGGATTAGATATCAGATTCTCTCAAAATCGAATAAAACATACCCGCAAACACTCCTACTAATTGCTCTGACTCAAGGTCGGCCCTGCACCAAAGGCGTAAATATTTTACTTTAAAACCCTTGAAGGAACGACAACACAAAATGCCCTCAATGTGCGACATTACAACGAACTTAAACCCAACAAAAGGAAAATATATGTAGTGGACCGAGTCGAATCATCCCCGTCATAAATTGTCCTCATCTTAAGCACGCAAACAAATCGACGAAGTAAGTCTTTTCACCATAAAAGTGAAGGCATCTTTGTTTTGTCGTGATAAAAAATGTGAGCATTTGTCTTTTTTACTATTAAAATGAGTTTTTTTTTTTTTTGTCTTTTCAACCTTTGAAATCCAAATATATGCCTTTAAGTATGGCAACGAGGAGGGTCGAGGATAATATTTATCTCCCTCAAATTCAAATTTGAATCCCAAAATAATTTTTGTCCTCCATCTCAAACTCCAACATGAATGAAAAATTAAAATCTAAATTCGTTCCAAATGGATTCAGGTTGAATTCGGATACCCACTCTGCTATCATCTATTTAGTGAAATCGATTTTTTTAATAAAAATATTTACTTTTTTGCAAAATAAAATGACATTACGAATAATAAAATAAACCAATCTCAAAAAAATCCATACATATATTTTAAATATCTTAAATAATAAATATAAATTAAAATATCAAAACATTAATCATATATTAAATAATTAAATTATCAAAACTAAATAATAAAGTACATAACAAAATAAACTGACAGATTTGAGGACGGGTTTAAAATGAATACTAATGTCTTTATTATCCAACTCATCTCTATAATAATCGAAAAAAATCCAAACCCAAATTCAAACTCCACAAATTTTCTCCGTCAAATTTGAGACAGATCCAAATAGATACCCAGAAGTTATATTCCAATCACTATATCCCTTCTTCTCCCATTCCCGTTTGTGTATTTTCATCTCAATCCAACCCATATCCTTTGTAGAAACCAATAGATCAAACTATCCACATTCAAAACACCCACAACTCACATCTCTCAAACTCATATCAGGACAAACAAGAAATCAAATTTAAAGACCGAACCTCAATAAAATTGTTTAATGAAATCATTAGCCGTTGATTTGAGATTTTCAATTTAAAAAATGGGTGGAAAAAAAATGAAGACACATAGATGAAAGTTAAATGTTTATTGATTTTTTGGAGTTTAAACTAAAGTTTATGATTTAGGGAAAAAGATACAAAGATGAAAAATTAAGGTTTCTAAGTTTTTTTTGGCTTGAACCAAGGTTTTTTGTTTTAAAATTTGATTAAGTATTTTTGGTAATTTAAACACATTAATGAGAAAAAATTATTTTACTTAACTTTATTAAAATAAATTAAATTAAAAATGATAATATTTGCCCTAATAGATGCCACATTAGACAAAAAAATAAATAAATGAAAACTATTAAAAAAATCATATCCAAGTAGTTTTAAGGAGGGGTCAAAAATCAAATTTCAAGAATAAGTATATCATATCTACTAGGCAGGAGCTTGTTTTGAAACAGAAGCAATGCTGTGATATTTTAACAACAAGAATACATTTGGGGGCTCTTGAACATACAATACAACAAACTTATGGCCCAAGAACCCTCTCATAAAATTACCAGACTCTCTTGCACCTCAAAGTTTAGAATCTTGAGTGATGTCTTGGTCCCTATGAACTGACAGGTTTTCCATTTAACTTGGGGAAAGGGTCTTGCTTGCTCAATACAGCCACTTTGCTTTTATGGGCAAAGTAACCTTTCACGAGATTCTTGAATATGAGCATGGCCATTATGCACTCTACCTGCAAGCAAAAACAACAATATCTTCCTTTATTTGTTTTTTGAAAGATATAAACAAATTGAAAGCAGGTCAGACTAAGGAAGAAATTAAAGAAATTACCTCATCCACATCCATGTCAATTTCAAGCCATTTCAATGCTTTAACAATAACTTCCAACTTCACCTGGTGAGCTCTGCTCGGGTCTCTCTGCTTTTGAATTATGTAACTGTCATGTTACAATCAAGCAACAATGAATTAATGTTTTGAGTTTACAGCTAAGTAACTTATGAAGCATAATATATATCCAACTGGGAGAGGGGGGTAAGGTGATACCATATACTTACATCTTCTTTACTAATCTCTGGAATACTTGAAGTTCTATTTTTTCTAGGACAAGATATACACCTGATCTCAAGAACCTACAATAAATATGAATTTGATTATTCTCTAGAGCAAATTTTGGAACAACAATCCTCATTATGAAACAATGATGAGCAAATTTACCAGTCCTCGTGATCTTGGAGTGCACGTCGAAGAAGTCGAGGATCGCCCCTTTTTAGAGCTTGTACAATATTACCGTACTGTCCAAAAGAAAAAAACAGTTACTCATATAAACACTTTGGAGGCCCACGTGGATGTGAATACTGTAAACATCAACTGCTAAATTCTGCCAGGTTATTGCATGTATATTTCAAAAAAACTATGATGAAGTTAGTATAAACATAAACTGCTACTCCTCTCCTCCGAGTGCTTGATTTGAAAGATCTACTTATTGAAAATTTTCCCTTTGAATAACCAAACTTCATAGCAAATTAACCACAATAAAAACAGGGTTCATTGAATTCTAAAAGGTAACTGGTCATGTCATTACTAATTGGACATTAGCTGGTAAAGACATTAAATATGATGGACATAATCAGCAATGAGAGGATCCGATTTTGTAGAGAATCTTTTTAGTCATAAAGAGTGGTTATTGTAAGATTTTAAACAAAAGGGACAAAGGTTGTATCCCATCCATCAGACACTTAATGGGAATACCGCCTGCAAACTGGCTCTAGGAAAATACAGTCCCTTTTAATTTATACATTTATTTGTTCTGGCTTATTTGAAGTAGCTCACTAGTGAGCCTAGTCATAACTTGTTCTGGCTCTAGGAAACTAAGTTACTGTTCAGATGGAAACATAACTGACTTGGCATTGGCACCAATGAGCTCTAAGAGGTTTACAATTAAAAAAAAAAAGTAGGAACAGAAACTTTTTAGCAGCCCATAGAGAGAAAGCAGAAAAGAACAATTCATCAATAAGCACCAAACAAACCTCAAGTAGATTGTACTTCTCCAAGAGCCTATGATTGGGTAATATGCCTATTGAAAGCTTCACTGGAATCAGATATTTAAGAATCATCCTGTGAAAGAAATACTAGTTACAAATGGTCATATAATAAAAGGACAGAGTTAAATATGATTTTCTATTCTATCTTTAATAATGGCATAAAGAGTTGGCAAAGCCCTTCATAGATGAACAGCGAGATGAACAATTCATGCCCCCACTTCTCTTTACCAGGGTAGGAAGCTAAGATTTGATTTTTCAGTTTATACCGGGGTTGGCGCCTGCTAGTAAAAAATATCCTAATTTCCTACTCATAAATATTTCCTTTTTGGCTTAGTTCCAATAAGAATATTCAACTCACAAAATATCTGCAGAAGTTAGATTTAAGAAACAACTTCTAAGAGAATGCACTGAGCAATCACATTTTTAAGCCATGTCTTGCCCCATCCACAAATGTGTGTTTAATTTGCAGACAAACTTAATACAACCTAAGCGAAAGCTCAATACATGAAAAAATGCAATGTACACACACAGTTGATAGACCTGAACCAAACCTTATATTTGCTTCATGTTGTGGGTTGCAATGCTTCAAGGCATATGATAATTTATGATCGGCCTGTCAAGTCACAGATGTAAAATTTATTAGTGGTTTATAAAATTTAAAAGTATGTTTTTTTCTGTCAATTAACTGGCTAAGTGTAATTCAGGAAAAATTGAAAAGGACGTCACTTTCTTATAAAATTGTTTTCTTAAGAAAACATATTCAGCATAATGCTCAGCTCTAGAACTCTTCTACTTAATTATCAAAGGAGTTATTTTCAATCATCAAAAGAGTAAATAATTTGGAAATCATGATAATATGGTTACATATGTGTTGTTTACTTTGTGAAAACATTTTCTATTTTCATTTTCAAATTTGTGTTAAATTTACTTGTAATAAGGAGATAATAAACTATTGAAGTGAATAGTTGTGTGCAATTTTAGGAAATACATAAAATGCTAAAGTAATTGTTTTCATCCCTAGCAAACACTTCATCTTCTCTCCATCACAATGGTTCACTTCAAGAGTCTCGCATCTTATTAACAAATTAAAATAAACATGTATTTTAGAAGACTAAAATAAACCAATGTTTTCAGGAATGAAAATAACTATTTTTTCTTTCCTTTTCAATTGTTTCTGAATAAAATATATTGACATTGTCATTTTGTGATTAACAAAACTGTGACCAAACTATGTATCCCCTTTATCATAACAATAATAACAATGACTGCAGCAGCATCAATAATAATAAAGCAATATTTCAATTCATTTGAGATCGTAATTGTATAGAAATACAGTTTTCTGTTGAAAGTAGCATCAACTGCAAGTAATTCAAACCAGAAGATACATTGTCGAAAAATATAAAGCCAGCAACATGCTTACAGAAGGTGTGCAAAATTCAAAACACAATCAGGTCGAAAACCATTTTTAAAGAAATTTAGAATACTTACAGCGGGGAAATTTTCATTGAAAACTTCGAGACGACCAGTATAGTACATGTAAGTGACCTGGAATATATCATAAAAGTAAATAATCTGGAAAAAATTAACATGCACATGCGCGGGCGCACACACACAAATACGTGTGTATACAAATTCTAACCTTATCTCTTTTAGGAAATTCCTCAAAATCAAATATGCGCGCAGTTTCGATACTTCTTATAACACTGCGGCAAAGATGAACTGTACCAAGCTGCATAACATTTGTTAATAGAATAAAAGTCAAAATTAAGATGTATATTTGATCAATCCCAGATGCTACAGTTTCAGATTATTAGTGCGAACACATGTCAAGAAAAGAGGTCATAACAAGAGTGTTATAAATCCCCAATAAGAGGGAAAACGGAACAATAAATACCTTAAAGTAAATCTTGAATAACTGACAAGTTACATACAATGCTCCAACACGCTTAGCGCCTTTTCCCTGGAATACAATAAAGCTATCAAATATTTAGTAACTTAGTACTAGTAGAGTACCTCTAAAAGTGAAATTTACACAACCACTTAATGCAGCAAGGAAGTATATGTTATACAAAAACAATACAAATGGGTGTCTTTACATACCGCAAGGATTCCAAAAACTTTCATGAGTAAAGAGCCAGCACCTTTCAACTTCTCAGGAGATTTTCCATTTGAAGCCAATTGTCTGTCAGCCTAGAAGCAAAGAAAAAGTGCAATTTTCAATTTTGAGATTCAAACAAAACAGGCAGAAAGACGTTCAATACCTTTTCGGCAAGAACCCTAATTTCGTAAACAATGACGAACAATGCTTCAAGTGCCCACGCCGATTCCCAATTACGAAACTCCTGAACAAACGCACTGAAAATTCCAAGCGTTACAATTCATCACTTGAACTTCAGTTAAATTCAATTAAAATAAAAAGAAATCAAATGAATAATACTTGGCGGTTTTCTCGAAAGCGTTATAAGTTTCAAGGAAATTGGATTGTTTATAGTGTTGTAGTGATCGGAAGAGGGGAATGATGATATCGGAGAACTGAGAGTAGTTATCGTTCTGATTGATGAGTCGATTGGCGTCATTGAAGAGGGCGATAGCGTCGGCGAGAGAGAGAAGAAAGTGGGAATTGGAGGAAAGAGCGAAGAGAGATTTGAAGGAAACGCCGTTTTGGTAAGTAACGGCGTCGGAGAAACGGTTAAGATATTCGGTGATTCTTCTATGGGCTTCACCCATGCTCAAGTACGCCATTGCCGCCGTCAAACTATAGCTTCAAAGTGAAAGTGGTGTAATAAGCAATCGGAAACTTGGACTTCCCCTTGCTTGTTTTAACCCTTCTACAAATTTAAATCCTCATGTGTATTTCTCATGTATTTTTGGGGTAAGTACTAGACCACATGATAATAATTTATGTAAGTACTCTTATTTCTATGCAAGAATAACTTATCCAATTTAAATGTAATGACGTTTGAGACCTTGTTCCACGTCGAGTTGATAAAATCGTCATTGAAAATAGATGGGTATTTAGGAACAAAACGGAGGAAAATAGCGTAATTACAAGAAATAAAGCAAGATTAGTGGCAAAGGGATATAACTAAGTTGAAGGAATAGACTATAAGGATACTTATGCCCTTGTAGCTTATTTGGAAGCTATTAGACTCTTTTTGGCATTCGCTTGTTGTCTGGATTTTAAGCTTTATCAAATGGATGTTAAATATGTTTTTTTTAACAATCATATAAGCGATGAAGTGTATGTTTCACAACCCTCAGGTTTTGAGGATTAGGATAATCTTAATTATATTTGTAAACTCAAAATAGCCCTTTTATGATTTCAAACAAGTCCCTTGAGCTTGGTATGAGCGATTGAGTGGATTTTTAAATGCGTGTTGTTAATTATATGCATTCAAAAATTTGTATTCTTGTTCATGCATTATTTATGTTCTTAATGCATTCCTTTACATATCAGTTTTAATCACTTAATTGTATGTTGTTGAATGTTGATGTTGCATGTCTATTTTGTATTTTGTTGTATGTAATATGTTTATCTTCGTATCGTATTATGTATCTGATCTTTTTTGTTGTATATTCTTCTTAGTTGTTTAGCTCATGTGTTCATCCGGAATTATTTTTTGTGGTTGGTTATTTGGTTTTTAGTCTCAAAATAATTGATATCTCTTTTTGATGTTGTCAAATGGGAAGAATTTGTAATGGAGTCTAGAATTGCTTTATGCGTTTGATGTGGTTTTTGTGCAATATTTCAGGAGGAACACAAACATTTTTTTCTTTTAGATCAAAGTCTACTCAATTCCAAAAGAAGGCTTGTCAAGCATAAAAAACAGAGAGAATATAGTTGCATATCCCTAATACATTCAGCAGAAGCATCCCCAATACAGTTATTTTATTGTTTGTCTTATTGCTTTCGTTTATTATTATTTATTGAGTCTCCTTCATGATTGCACATCTATGAATCAAGTTAAAATTGATTTGTTATTAATTTTAGCATTCATAAATGAATAGTTAAATTTGAGGTTGATCATGATGCTTCTAGTCAATTACATGAGTCATTGGAATAAGAACTATATGTGTTATTGATTCAAGTTAGGTGGAAAGAAAAAATCTCAATGTATTTTGAAAATTATGAAAAGTTGAGATTTTGTGTGTTCAATTCAAATCAAGCATACAACCTGATTCAAATCAAATTAAACAAAGACAAGCAAATTTTTTTTAAACACTTTGATTCAAATCAAAGTTTACACCTGATTCGAATCACGCATTTTTTTGGTCACTTTAGTTGATTTGATTTGAATCAGACTTTACACTAGATTCGAATAAGACAGTTTTTCAGCATTTTCCATTTGGCCCTGTTGGAATTGATTCAAACTTGATTTGAATCATGGGGTTTTTGATTCAAATCGGTCTTTGTTCTTGATTCGAATAAGATGAAAAATGAGTCGAAATTTTTTTCTTCTTATTCCACCTCACTTGTTGTTCATTTGACTCAAATCATTAAATGATCTTGATTTAAATCTAACTAACTTTTTCCACTCATTTTTGTGCTTAATCTCAAGCACATATAAAACCATTTTGTCATCATTCTTCATGTATGAATTTCATAATTAACATTGTAATTTTCTTTCTCGTAATTGAATTTCTTTCTTCTTCAACCTTTGTTTTGATTTTAGATCTTGATAATGAGAGATTTGTAATCCATTGAAGGAGATGTTGTCTTGAAAATAATCGTTCTTGAAGATTGGGTAACTATTTTCAGGTTCTTGCAATACAAAGGTTATTGTCATTGATGCTGGAAAATTATAGTGAAAAGAGGGAGTTATTCCATCCATATAGCATTGGCAGTGATTGTGTGGAAGGCTACAGACAAATATGAGTTCTTCTCAAATCTTCGAACAATGAATCGGTAGGATCAAAGGGTGATCACTACACATGAAGGCTTGGAGCAGATTCTGACATTGGAAGATTCAAGGAGCATTAATTAAGTAAAGATTATGCACAAGAGTTTGGCATTAAGATATATACAAGTCAAGATCCAGATACGAGATTTATATTTCTCAGTATTATTGTGGATAAGTGATTGTATGAACTCTTGCAATATTTGTCAAAAAAAAAAGAAGAAGGAATAATGTTGGTTTCAATGGGAAACCATTAAAGAATGTATGTTGGCAAAGCAATGATGAACTCCAAAGCACTATAAATCTCGGTATCTTCTCTCTCTTTTACTCTTGCATTTCATTTTTATAGGATATTGCATGCTTAGGTTTTTCAATTCATAGTGTAGTTTATTGTTTATTCGATATGGTAGCAATTTATTACATAAGGTTAAGTTTTGTTAGAATTGAAATCTTATAGAGCTATAGTGGTGATTAAATTGAGAAATTGTTGAGTTTAGAACTCTTTGAAATTGAATTGTTGTATAAGCACATCTCATGGAGCATACAACTGAATAAATTTAATACCTTTGTGTATCATCATTAAATCATTTTTTATATTTGGGAAGTGATTGAGTGTTAATGTGATCAAATTTCAATACAAGTATAATTCACATATTTTTGCTCTAAAATCTTCCACCTACAACTTTTAAAAACATCTGATAATCCATTTTGAAAAATCGATTGAATTTTTGTTTTAGTCTATTCATCACCCCCCCTAGATTGTTTTCTTACTCCATATTCTTATCCAACAACTTTTTACTGCAACTACAAAAGATGTGTTCAAAATACTTGTAAGAGAGACATTAAGCATGTCTTGTATCACGATATTTACCCTTACTCTTAGGAGCATATGAAACTGCCACATGCTCAAAACATCTTCGTGAGACATGATTATTGAATGAGACATTGTTCCTTCCTTAAAAATCTCTCTAGCATGTGTATTCAAAGAAGGGACGAGATTTTTATTAAGCAAAACACTTCTGACAATTTCAAATTTCAGGCGAAGTTTCATAAAACATTTTTCTCGGCTACTTGTGTTGTATACCTCTAGGGTAGCTATGAGAGAAGTCTTGAAAGACAAAATCACGACCAAATACAAAATCAAGAGACGACAAACTCATATCTCAGAATCCCAAATGAGGAACAACCTAGAGCCTAAAATTACAATCTTAATTCTTCAAATCAAGAATCACTGAGGCAAAATCATGAGACTACACGAACCCACAAATACACAACTAAAAAAATATCTTTCGTAACATATTATTACAATAGTCTTCATGTTAATTGTGGTAATATCTCATTTACATGCGCCTAAATTATATAATTATTTGTTAAAATACATTTAATTACGGTCCTATAACCCAATCGTTGTGGTATATTGAAGTTTACTTGTTTCGTTTCCTAACTTGGTCCTATAATGCATGGAATCTGCAATCATATGTTAAGAAAATAAAGAAAATATGCTGGGACCTGGGATCGAACCCAAGTCCTCCCACTCATACAATGCGTGCCTTGACCATCTGTGCTACATTGTTTAGTTGTTATTATAATAAGATTAAATTATAATATGCAAAATAAGGTGAGTAAACTGAAAAAATGCACGTAATTCAAATGGACCAGTGGGATGGTGACAAGTCATCGTCTTCTTCCATGTCCGTCGTCTTAGGTACCAAATTTATATCTACGGAAAAAACTCCATAGCTATAAACCTGCAATCTTCAAAAATTCATATGACGCATGATAAATTAATTCTAGCTATACCAATCAACTCGTCTTGATCTCACGAGTATCATGGCATTATTTTCTTGGTCCAATTTCACTTGTACAGAGAATCCCCAAAACGGCTTCTTAAACCCTAACCATGACAATCATCAATATATGCATCAAAACATCAATTAAATCATTCAAGCATGTTGTAAATATGTCAATGATCACAAATATATCATTAGAACATGCTTAGGATGCAAGAATTGTCATAATCGATTTTGAAAAAAAGGGCAAATCGTGTGAAGGCTATGGGACAATTATGGGCTTGGGAATGCTTGCAATTGATCGTGCTAGCTTCAGGAGATATCTAGGAAGCGATTAGAAGCTTTGGAATGCTTTGAATCACCCTCTATGTGAGAAAACGGTCTACCACTTTTTTCCCAAAATTTGAGTTTTGTTCTTCAGCTCTCACGACTGTAACCCTTGTGTTTTTTGCATTGTTTATGTTCAACATATGTAGTGTGATGAATTAGGTTAACAAAAACAACCTGAATCTTTTCCAATCATGGCATTTGAATGTGATTTGTTTGCTATATGATACTTTCCAAAACCATCTAAATCATGTTATTTTTGCCTCAATTTGCCTTGATTCGATTTGATCTAATTAGGCCAGCTTAATTAGATTTGATTCTCACCAAAATCAGATCAAAAAATCAATTTTTTTATATTTTTTGTCATTTATTTGATTTAATGTGACTTTTAATAAATAAAAATCAAAATAAAATAAAATAAATAGAGAAAATAATATATGGCTGCTGATTTAGGTCGTGGACCATGTCCCTAACAAGATGCAATCATGAAAAGCTAGGCCCATTTGACAAAAAATGCACTTTTTAGCACATTTGTCTTTTGGCAATTTTCCAAAAATAGTCAACTTTGACAATGCATATCTCTTCCAATTTTAACCCTAGAGAGGTGTTCTTGGACTTTTTAGAAAGCTCGGGATGTCCCATAAACAACCCATTCGGTCTCATTTCAATTGGGTCTTCCATGTTCATGTAAGAAGCTTTGACCCAAAAGGTGTTTTTGTTGACTTTT